AAAACATAACAAATGTAAGGATTTCTGCTTGCGCAAAGGAACTTCACACCCCTTTCCTCTCCCTATGCATGCCCTGTAATTTCCCCAAATTTGCTCTGGGGAATTGGGGGAAATACAAGAACAGATTTAGGGGGTGTATGGGGGGAAGAGAAGGGGGAGTGTTCTATTGCACAAGCTGAAATCCTCGTGGCCTAATATTCATTTTAATTTATGTAAGCTGCCATGAATATCATCAGTACAACAAAAGGATGGAGCGTAAATTATTATAAATAAAGTACCTGCAATGGAACACATCCTGTACATTACTGGAATATCGTGCTGCCAGAGGTTCCAAGTTTCAGCACCAAACCAGTTACAAGGAGGTACGTTTGTGGGGCAAGATATACTTCTGGCCCTTGAACAGCTGAGTGAAGAATAGAGTATCCTATTAGACTACAGAAGTTGATTATTCTTGGGTCTAAATAATTAACAAACCAGTAAAGATAAAACATTATTTATGCCATCTTCTCTCTAGTATTTGCAAATTGACATCATCTGCAAGTTCCATTCAGTAGTGACTCACTTGCAGTTACAAAGAATTCCTAGAGAATTAATTTAAAGGGGGGAAATGTGAAGCATGCCAAGACAGAGTATGTAAGTCCATATATAATTAGCTTCATCCCTCATATAATTCTTTTCTCACATGCGTTTAGCAAACTGGTACCAGGCAATGATCAATGTACGAGCTATGAAAGCAGACAAAACCAGCTGAAAAAGCAATCCTGGACCTCTTTAAGGAAGAAGAAAAACTTTTTCCAATTGATGTAGTGCTTCATAAATTAGCCTTGGGACACCACATAGATTGTGCTCTTGTCATGCGTATAGAATTCTATTCAATTAATAATTTTGCTTTTCAATAAAATACGTCTGAGTAGCATTCTGTGTGCAGGATAAATGTAAATGAAAGGAGCAGAATGAAATGACTCCCCATTGGTTTCCTTATTTGCACGCTGATCCTAAACGATTCTTGCCGGAATAACCAGGTTCCATTCATCTGGTCCCAGTCAGTCACTTGGTCTGTGTATTTGGAGCCAAATGCAGTTTCTGAACAGTATTCAAAGGAAGCCCCATGTGCAATGCATTGCAGAACTGCAGCAAGGCTACTGCTTTCTAGGAGGGGCACATTACCCTTGGTTTAGGAAAGGTGCTTCAGAAGCCACTTGGTCCCTTAAAGACAAGTCTGGGCTTAGCACCACCTTCTAAACCACATATACTAAACAGAGGACAAGAGAGGATGGAGATTGGTTGCAGCACTGGAGGAGAAGAAACAAGGGGGAACGTACAACCTTACCTCCACCTGGGAACAAAGCAAAGCAAAGCCTTCGACATCTTCTTCACAAATGCAGAAATTCTTTCTAAGCCTGTTAAAGAAGCAGAAGTCACAAACTTCTTTATTTCTTCAAAACAAACAAACAAAATTGCATCCCATTTATTTAAATGGGATATTATTGTAAAATTATGACCACACATCTTCCCAGAATTTTCCCAAGCAAGCGAAAGAAGAGCCCCTAAAGGATTGTGTATTTTGGCCATAGTTCATCTCTGAAAGTCTCACAGATTTTAATGAATAAATGAATAATTCTATATTTCTCTTTCCTGTTAGTTTTGACTTCCTGGAACTCATTGCATGAGTCTGCAAACTTCTAGCCTTTCAGTGGTTAAAGAATGGGTGCAATGCTGCAAAAGCTGAGTGTTCCCATTAAAACCACGTGTCCAGGAAGTTCCTGAGAGGTGATAGTGTGGTGGACTTGCATAAGACACGGTTGTGGTAGTTGTGGTATGATGCAAAATGGACCCTGTTAGGATCCGTGACGGAGTCTCGGGGAGTTTGAGTCGAAGCCTAAAATGATCCCGAGGTGAATGCAAGAAATCAAATGCTTTCAGACTATGCGCCAGCACTAAAGACATCGCCCAAGGCTGCTTAGACTGCCAAAGGGCAGTTACTGTCCCTTTATTTGATGTTCTTAAATGTAACAGGATTGTCTTAGGATGCAAGTCTAGGAGGTTGCTCTGCACTACTGGTGGGACCTGAAGTTGCCAAATGATTGACTGTTTTTTGTAGTTTGGTGTTGAAAAGTAAGAGCAGTCTACACTGGGTCTCAACCTTCTTACCTCCCTGCCCCATCCCTACCTGGGTAAGCAGCAGCAACACCAGTGTTTGTAGAGAAGTTCTTCCCCACCACATGCTTTGCTACTCAAGCTTCACAACACAAAGTGTTCCTTTGCCCACCCTCAATGAGAGGATCACCCCGCAGCTGTGTGCTCTCTATTCAGATGTTTAATTTCTCTACATCAGAAACAACCATCAGCATCATGTCACTATGATTTGTCACACATTTATTTTCCATGTCTTACATCTCACTGCAGCCCCATCTTGCTGTCCTTCTGCTAATGATCGCACTAATGCGAAGAGCAAGCTAAATCTCACATTGAAAGTACTAGAGAGAAAGATACTGAGCAGAGAAAGACGACGACTTCTACAGAATCTGGAAACTGTCATAGTTGTGACACAGCCCATATGTATGGAACTCATGTGGTGAATCAGGAATGGAGACTATGATTTTATCCACACACACCCTTTTACATTTATGTCCCACCTTGCTTCCATCACAGAACCCAAGGTGGCTATTCCTATCCCTTTACCAGCAGGTCCCAGGGTGAGTTGTTGTTGTTGTTGTTGTTGTTTAGTCGTGTCTGACTCTTTGTGACCCCCTGGACCAGAGCACGCCAGGCACTCCTGTCTTCCACTGCCTCCCGCAGTTTGGTCAAACTCATGCTGGTAGCTTCGAGAACACTGGCCAACCATCTCATCCTCTGTCTTTCCTTTCCCGTTGTGCCCTCCATCTTTCCCAACATCAGGGTCTTTTCCAGGGAATCTTCTCTTCTCATGAGGTGGCCAACAGGGTGGGTTACTACAATTTAAAATTCAGAATTAATACCTGTGGTTCCACATCAGTCATCCATCCAGGCAATGACCATGCTTAGTTTCAGCAAGGTGGGCCCACTCCTGATGTTGCAACCTGATGGCTTCATGGGTATCCACATATCCTGTGGTGTCCTTATGGACTGAGGGTGGAGCTGGCATGGGGATGTGACCTCAGGGAGTAAAGTTCTACCCCTGATTCACTATGTGAACAGGGCTACTGTTTGGTGGGAAATTCCTAACAGTAGATTACTTGATAGGCACAGAACATTGCCATGGTGGAGAGTGGTGAAAACTAGGGAAATGTGCCCTGGGTAATTAATCTGATCCTTGCATCATTTTAGCACCTAACTCTTCCTGCTTAAGACTGCTCTGCACTTGACATCCTTCTAGTCTCAGTCCAACTACTAGGCTATGACAGACATATCTCCTCCCACAGGAGTGAATGCTGGTCTTTCTGTTTACCACACTACAGAGAGTTGGCTGGCCACTAAGCGTTGCTTGTTAAAGGGTTCTTGAAGTGGAGAAATCCAGGGAATAAAGATGACTGCTAGGTGGCAGTGGAAGAGGCCCAAGAAGGAAGGGCTGAGTTAGTTTGTTCCCATGCCCACACATTCGCATGTCCATCAGCTGACATCAGCTTTGGGGAACACATTGGCAAAGCAAACCCCTGAAGCCAGCAGGATTGAACCCTTTGCTCACCAGCTGGGGTCAGCCTCGCCAGTGCCTTCCCTTTCTCCACCTCCCCAGGTGAACTTTGATAGGTGGGTGGCATTGCCAACCTTTCAGGCTCCTGATGCCATCACCCTGACAGATGATTGACAGGTGGATGCCCCTGTCAAGCTTTGGAGATAAAAATCTGCCACAACAGGCCAAAAAAGTTCCCCGCCCCTGCACTACAGTGATACTATGCTTGTAGTTGTGTCACTGCCTAAGCTACACAATGTAAGTCTGCCTAAACTATGGTCACAATCGTTGCTATTTTTCTAGAAAAAGAGGTGCCAGAACTCACAACGAACACGTCCCTCATTCTCATAGAGTAGCAATGATGCTGACCTGAGAGGTGTCGGAACTGAGTTCTGGCTGAAAAAACATCCTGGTCACAACTTACCTGGCCATATAAAGATGGAGTGTAGACAGCCAAACGAAAGAAAGAAAAATATTTGACGCAATGCCATGGTATGTATGAAAACACATTTCATTAAAAAAATAAGGTTTGTTTATAATTTTCATTTATAACAAATAAACATTTCAACAATGAAATTAAAACAGTTCTCGCATATCAAACTTCGACTTCCCTCCCCTTCTTTCAGTGGTTCCATGAATATACCCTCTTTTCCCCTTCTGCATATCCCAATTAACTCTATTTATTCTTTTCCTCATCTATTTCAGATATGTTTTAGAAACTGCAAGTTTTTACAGTAATCCTGCTAACGTCTTAATTTGTTTACAGTTTGTTTGTAAATATTCAATAAACGATTTCCATTCCTTGATAAAAACTCTGTTGTCTTGATTTCTTATTCTTCTGGTAAGTTTCTCCATTTCCTCATAGATTTCTGTAACCTTTCTTCTTTCCACTACGTCTTCTTTCTATTTTGGGGCAAATATCATTCTCGCAGCAGTAGTTGCATACATAAATAAATTTCTGTATTGTTTAGGTAACTCTGATCCCATAATTCTCAAGAGAATTCCCTGGTTTCTCTTCCGATCGTATAAACCTTTTGCCTTTTAGTAATGAAAACACAACATTTCAAGCAGGGTTGGGAGGTCTGTAGCCCTCCAGATATTGGATTGAAGTCCCCATCATCCCTGACTATTGGTCATGCTGCCAGGGGTTGATGGGAGTTGTAGTTCAACAGAATACCTTCAGGGCCCTTGTTCCCCACCCCTGACTTAAAGGAACCCATGGAATTAAGCATAGTTTGATTAGCAATAAGGCAGTACAGACAACTTAAGTTTGGTATCCTGACAAAGAATCAAAGAGTTGGAAGGGACCATGAGGGTCATCCAGTCCAACTTCCTGCAATGCAGAAATATTTGGCCCAATGTGGGGCTCAAACCCACGACCCTCAGTTTAAGAGTCTCATGCTCTACCAACTGAGCTACTCTCACCCTCACTCTCACAAACTGTGCAAAAAGCTATCACTGTGTAACAGATGATTCCGTTTACGAAGAGTGGAGAAGTATATAAAACTATTTGCTTTTATGAATAATACAGCTATTGCAGCCGGCTATCAAATGTAACAATGAAGGATCTAAATGTGCATTTACTTTACACCTTAAGCATAATATGTCATTTCCCCTCATCTATGTGTACCTTTGGGATGGATTTAGTGGAAAATATTGAAAATCCCCCAATAACATTCTCAGAAACATTCTGGCATTCAAAGGACCTTCTGTTTATTTCCCCTTTGCACCATATGTGCACTGTGACTGAGAAAAGAATGGTAGCCCTTGACTGAATTTTCATACTGAGGACTAAATGAATTTTTCAGTAATTAATTTGGTTCCCCAACACCTGGCTTCCAATTTTGTATGTAATTGGCACTTGGGTAGTCTGCTTACCTATTGATAATTTCTTGGTCTAAGCAAGTATTTCAATTCTAGTGTGTTTCTACTTAATAATCAATACTCCTGTTGTTTAATGAAGAAATAGCCTTCCATCATGGCCTTTGTGCATTGTTAAAATGACATTGATCCCGGCCATTATCATATGTCCTTGCTGTAAGGACATGCATATCAGTCTTACAGTAAAGGAGCTGTTTAGTGCTCGTGTAGCCCTAACAATGTTCAAACAAGTATATTCAGTGGTGGAAACATCATGGAGGAAAGAGAACAGGAAGAAATGTTTCTTGTTCAAATGTAGGTGGCATAAGAAAAGGGACTAGTTTGGATTATACTTCACACACACACACACACACACACACACACGAAAGGATAGGGGAGAAATTTGGTTCAGTCTGTTTTTAAATGCACATCTACCTAAACTGCAATACACAAAGGAATATGTGAACTGAAATGTAGGTATCCTTTGAAATTTGTACTTCTCAGAATTTTGCAATTCAGTTCTCCAGCCAAGGAATGCATACAAAAATGTATATAATAGGGTAAAGTGTGCATAAAAATGCATATAAATACATACATAAAAAATGCAAACGTGTATATTACAGAAAATTGTATACAAAAATGTATACACACTTTAGTCACACTAAAGTTCTGAAATTGTAAAGTGATGTGTGAATTTGGAGAGCTGAACTTAATATCAGAAAAATGAGAAGTGGAGTGAAACTAAAACTGACAGGGGATTGGTGGTGGTACAACGATGAGTGGTCAGAGGGAGAAGACTGGGAGGAGGTGTCAGAAGTTGAAGCAGCAACAGGGTTTAGTGAGCGGGAAGAAGCTGAGGCAGAGAGCAGTCCGGAATCAGAGGCAGGAGAGGCAGGCCAGTAGACAGAGATGAGGCAGGCTGCTGAAGAATCCAGGGAGTCTCCCCCTCCTGCTGCGACCAGCTCCCCTCCCTGCTGGTCTCCAAGAACACACAGAGTAATGAAGAGGATGGAGCAATGATAGACCAGATGACAGAGCTTTAGGCTGCTGGGGAAAGAACCCCGGAAGGACCCTTAGAGAGTGGTGGGAAGGTGGGGACTTTCATTCCCCACAACTGTCTCATTGGGGCAAGATCTACTGGGAAGAGTTGCTGTGATCACTAGGCCTGCACTGTTTTGGTTTATTGAATGAAGAGCTAACTTCACTGACATCAGGTGTTTTCTTACTGACCTACTCCTGCCACCGGCTCCTGACTTGTTGTTGTTGTTGTTGTTGTTGTTGTTGTTGTTGTTACTGCTGCTGCTTATTCGATTAGTCGTGTCTGACTCTTCTTGATCCCATGGACCAGAGCACCCCAGGCACTCCTGTCTTCCACTGCCTCCCAGAGTTTTGTCAAATTCATGTTGGTCACTTCTGTAACACTGTCCAACCATCTCGTCCTCTGTCATCTCCTTCTCCTTGTGCCCTCAATCTTTCCCAAATACTTTCAAAGTATTTGAGCCTCAGCTTCAGGATCTGTCCTTCCAGTGAGCACTCAGGGTTGATAAAACACAGAAAGAACCCACTGACGGTTCATCTAGCTAAAAGACCATGTGGTCCAGCATGCTGCTTTTTACACTAACCAACCAGATGCCCACAAGTCAGCAGTTGTGGCCAATATGGAAGTGTGTATTCCTGTCCCTGCTGGTATTGGTCTGGAGTAGGTGGTAGAGGCCAGCAGAGTGCACACAAGTAATTCTGATTGGCTAACTGCCCTTGCTGCTGATGCAGGCTGCTGACCTCAGTAAGGGCAGCTAGCCAATCAGCAACCGTACACTTGCACAGAAATTGTTGTAGAGCCTCCTCTTGACAGATACTGCTAAGGCCTGGTTATATCCTTCTCCCTTCAATTACTCTGTTGCGACTGCCAGTTGCTCCTGGTAGCAAACTACTCCACCTGCCTCCACAGAACCTCATGTTAACTCTTTAAGAGTCAGTGCTTCCTGGAACACCATAATCTCCTGTACAGAGAAGAGAGATGTTGAAACTACAGTGCATTCTGATCCTGATTCCCCTTCACAGTTTATATGACAACAGCATATCATATTTATAGGATATTAGCACTTAATTTATGGCCACAAATTCTAAAGCTTGTGTTGAAAGCAAGGCATTAAACAAACAAACAAACAAACAAATAGAAAAGCACAAACTTAAAATATATGCCCAAGATTGCTTGAACTTTGCAATTGTTTTGGAACAGATTTAACACTGTAGTATCTGCAATAATCCATTTATAATTTGGAAAATCACTGCAACCCAGGGAACCCCTGTAACTAAGTGGTTTCTCAACTCCCACTTCTACCATTAGCAATGGTTTCCCCATTTCCCCCAGCTATAGAACTCCTTCCAACTGTATGCAACACTTCCAAACCTTAATCCTTTTTCATAGCATAGCAAAACATATACATTACAGTTGTTTTTTTGGAGCTCAGGGACAAGGGAGCATTCCTAAATGCCCTTGATGTCCAGCAGTGCTGGATGAGGTGGCAGGGTCAGCACCACGTCTGCATCCCTGTCGCAAATTGTGCTGGCATGGAGGTGGCTCAGCAATTGGACCCGCCTTGTGATCCAATTGATCCTGGGCTAGCTGAGCCCTTCCCTCTCGGAAAATCCCATTTTGGAGCTTTCTGTTGCTGCCAGCAGTGGGGAACCTGCCAGTGCTGCTTCCACCCACCCATTTGGCAGCAGGAAGGAGAGCTCTGCATTTGCCAGTGATGCTGGCCTCACTCCTCAAATGGTGGCCAATGGGAATGCAGCGTGGGTGGGTGGGTGGAGGGACATCTTTGCCAAATTCACCCCACCTCCTTGCCTATTGCAAAAGTGTTTAGGTGAGACAATGTCCGTGAAGCTGATAAAATGGGGGGATGCTTTCGTTATTTACTCGAAAACTTCACTGATCTTTGGGAACGAAAGAACGAGCAGAGAGGGGTGCTGAGATGACATTGCTTCCATTTAGTGAAAGGGGAAGTTGCATGTGTAGATCAAGGCACAATTTGGGTTCTAGGACAGAAATTTTTTAAAAAATTGAGTAAGATGTATTATTCAGGCATTCTAATACAGTGGAACCTTGGTTCTCAAACTTAATCCATTCTGGGAGTCCGTTTGATTCCCGAAACAGTTCAAAAACCAAGGCACGGCTTCCAATTGGCTGCAGTAGCTCCTTGCACTCAAGCGAAAGCAGTGTTGGACGTTTGACTTCTGAAAAACGTTCATAAACTGGAACACTTCTGGGTTTGCGGTGTTTGGGAGCCAATTTGTTCAGCAACTAAACCATTCGGGAAACAAGGCACCACTGTAAGTGTGACATATAGCTGGGGAAAGAATGATTAAAGTTCTGTCAACTTGAAATTTCAATAAAATATGGAAGGCCTAAGACACAATTTTCACAAGCATTGTTTTGATTGCCCTCGTAACTATTTACAGGCAATAAGAAGGGATGGGTGATGGCTACATTTGCAGGTCTTTGGCACTTCTGTAGCCTCAGTCTGTAAAACCCATCTGTTGAAAGAATGTTTAGAGAACAAAGGATCTTTTCTTGGGGCAAAGAGTGATCTCCTGGAGCTCTTCAGAGATACAGACAGGCCTTGTCACTTCATGTTTCAGTATCACAAAAAAGAACACAATTCTGTGATTTTCACTTTAGGCACTAACAAGGTCTAGCCACATGACCAATATTAAGAAGCCATGCTAAACAACAACAATAATAATCTCACGGCAACTGGGGAAGAGAGATCACAGTTCTTTGAAAACCTGGTTTTCAGGAGTAAATATTTTTACAAATATATTATTTACTCTACAGAAAGCTTTTTTTAAAACAAAATAATTCTGAGAACATAGATAAATGTGCTCACCACAGGAGCTCTATGACCACTACAGGCCCCACTGTCAGTCCTTCGGTACTTCCTGTCAGTCTGACTAAACTCTGTCATCCTTCAACCCAGTTTAAATTAACAGGTAATTTGTAAATGTCACTTCAGGTTAGGCCGCTCATTTTGTTTCTACTCTACCAATGCAAAGTCGAGGACTAATTTTTCTTGTCTTCTTTTAATAGGATTTTCATTTATAAATAGAATTATGTTCTGAAAATAAATTACAGTAAGTGATGCACGGAACTGGGAGCAACAGCACTTTCATAGAATTTCAAGCACCTACATCAGAAGAGATTAATAAAAACACTTCAAAGGCTAAATTCTATTTAAGCAGAAGACAGCTTTTGGTTAATATTTAATCTGAGTAACGGCAATTTCAGTTGAAAATATAATTTTTTAATATCTAAATTAATTTGCAAAACAAAGCCATTAATTCAGCCCGAGAGCTTTCACAGTGCAAAAGTTTCGGCAATTTATTGGGGTGAAGTGACGTAGGGTTAAACTGTAAAACTTTAAGCCAAAAAAACTCTTTGTTTTTTTAATAAACAACTTACTTTCATTCTAATGGCCCTGGTGTGGTATTTGATCAGCTATACTGCTTCGGGTCTACACTTTTATGTTATGCATTTCTATATTACATTAGACAAGGAAGA